AAAGTCATCCAACCCGTAGCTATATATGTATCCGGTGGATGGAAACTATCCCACCCAAGGTTTGACATGCTTGGCTGAAAACCACCTGGTCATCTCACAAAGACGCCACAAAATGTCAAGGCTATGCTCCAACGTTATTACTTGAGCAATTTTGATTTCTTGGGGTCAACAAGATGTGTCTAGAAAAGATTCTTGGGGTTCTCAAAACTGCTTATCAAGGTTTGATAGTCAAATTGCTTCACTAACTGTGATGAGTCCTTTTGAGTATCGACTTTGCCATGGCTTGCATGCACATTTGTGGACAAATGAAACATGGATTTAGGAATCTTAAAATTTACCTTCAACTTGTGACCATCCCCAACACCTATAGGAATTTGTCCCTTAACTCAACACTGATAGGTTTCTTAACGACAATTGCCTTCACTGGTTCCTCATCATCTTTTGATGAGTAAGCACCATAGAAAGCATGCTCATCTGGGTCATTGTCCTCAACGTCTTGATCAAGATTTATGTTGTCATCATCATTTGTGTTTCCATCATACTCAAGAGCATTCATAGTTTGGAATGATGATGACAACTTGAAGTTTTGAGGCTTACAATGATACAATTCCTCTAGTTGTAAATAATCCAAATTCTCCGAAGACTTGGCCAAAATCTTGCTCTAAATGAAGGCATCAATTGTTTTGATACGCAATCTATTCCTAAGCTTGGTCTTGATACTATTGTGCAAAGAAAAACCTCGCTCGGCAATGGCATTGTTGAGGAGTATGACAATACATAGATACACAAATTTAAGCATGCAGCCTATCTCCAATTCATGCTCATCATGAATGTCCCTCCATACAAGAAGAAACTCTCTATGCGGGTACTTGGCCGCTAACCACAGTAGGTGCTTCATCCTCAAAAACTGTTTGTCAACCTGAGACAATACGGACGGATCAATTAAAAATAACTGCTCTTTTTTTTTCATGTTGCAAAAATGACTCAACAAAATTTTATACTCTGACACATCAAATTTATCAAGCTCTAACTGCTTTAGGTTTCCATAAAATGTTGGATAAAAGATTTTGAATGCACTAAGCACATCTTTCTCATGAAAGCTTTCCAAAAGGTTTGCCTTAATATTTCCCACCAGCACCTTGATGAACACATGAAGGTGTTTCACAATAAAACCAGAGTGACCTATCAAAAGAATCGTACAGCTCTCATTGACCTGCAAAATTAGATCTTTTGTGGCTCCGTTCTCTTGAATATATTTTAAGAACTAAATCAATTTATCACCACTGACCCGATACTCAAGCCACAAATATGCTTGAAAGAAGACAAAAACATCTCAAGTCGGTCAAGAATTTTGTGAAGCAAGTTGTTGTACTACTCAATATACTAATTAAATTCCTATAAGAGCTTCAATACATTAGCAACACTCTGCAATAGGCAGATGAAAGTGACATCAATGAGGTACTTATGTAACTCAGCACCTTTTTTCCAACCCTTCTTGCCTGATTTTCTCTTCAAGAACACAATCAGCGTTGCTAAATTCTCTTGTAATGCATCCATGCACTGAGCTTTTGAAAACCATCTAGTGGCATTAAATAAGGGAAATTGCAATTTGGTCACACCCGCCTCCTGGCAAAGTGTGTGCATTGCGTTTGATGAGATACTGATTTGGTAAACAGATTATGCACCGCCTTTAGGACAACGTCCAACTCTTGAAGAGCTTTCATTTCCTTGGTTGTGTCTCCAAGAGCTAAGGCAATCTCATGCGCTGTGCAATGGACTTTCAAAGGATACCCCACAATTCCTTGCAACTTTGCGCCCAATCCATTGTGTCTACTAATCACTGTGTAGTCAACGTCAATGTAAATTGCCGCCATGTTTGATATTGGAATGTCAAGGACATCTAACACTGCGCATAGCATCTGCTACATCTCTTCTGCTAATTTTTTGCCTAAACTATAGGCGCACAAGAACTCCAAAAGTGGCACTCAAATATTACCATTCCCGTACCTACTTAATATAGTTTCTTGCAAAACATGGTCAAAAATAAATCAATACTGCCAGGTGCATTTTAGCGGAGACAATTTTTTGCAAAATTTTTCTAAATGAGGAGAGGTCACCTGAGAAATATCAAGCAGTGGTCTTTATTGCCGATGTTGTAGGAATTGTCCAATAAGACAGAATAAAAAGGACTTGAAGCTACCATATCCAATTGTGCTGCTGATTAAAAGGCCTTGGTTGATCAAAAGTAGCATTTCTGGTTGTACTTCCGGTTAATGCATGGATGTCCCATCCAAGCAAGCTACATGTGTTGGAACACAGATGAAAACATATTGTTATGGCCTTCACAAGTTTTGGAAGCTAGCAATCTTGAATGGAAGTATCACCCACATGGTGCAGTGCATGCATTGAGATTGTGTCCACCCACCCCTACAGCAAAGTTCATTTTGAAATGGGCAAATTCTCTAAGACAGCTACCGGCGCCAGAGAAAACGCGGTGTGCAGAAATTTATTTGTTGCCGCCTATGAATGCACACAGCTATTACTCTACTCTTTCAAAACCCTTGTCGCTGCTTCACTTTTGACGCGGCTGCCTTATGCTTTGTCGATAAAGCATGGTCGCTGATATAACCTACATAAGAAAACATCATATCAAACCCGTGTAAAAACCCCCATACACTATAGTATCCGTTTTGCACTTATACAAGAATTAGAAAATTTGAAAACATATCTATATTCACTTGCATCTTTGCAAACAGCGTCGATCTTGGAGGCAAAGTTATTCGCGGCTTGTGCTTCTATGCAAATGGAGTAGCTTATCATGGGATTCCCATCTTCTTTCTTGCCTACCAGTGTAGCCCATGCATACTTCTCTATCCAACTTTGCACCGTCAAATCTGAGGCAGCATACTTCTTCTTCTTCTTACTAGCATTAGATGTTGTGATTGTATTGGCAATTTCTGCCTACTTGCTTGGCTTCTAGTTCGCAAGTTGAGATGATCAAGTCAGATTTTAATTATTGTCCAATAACTTGCGCAGAGATGGACTACTGTGTGGGCCTTGTCAACCCCAGACTATGTGTTAGCCGTTGCTGTATGCCAACAAACTTGCTTCGCTTCTTTGAAAGTTGTTGTGTCGGGCTGGACTGTTGTGGAGATATCACTTTTTGAATAGCTGCTGCAATCCTCTGCAAGGGGAAGCTATCAATTGCTGGCCGTGAAGTTACGGCTTCGTCAGCCATGTTGTCCTTTGGATGAAAACGCTTTTCTCATTTGAAGAATATAAGAGCATATATACAAAAAAGCAAAATATGCTCTTAAGAGTGCATGACACTTTATGCGTGTTTGGCTACATGATATGCCCGCTCGAATACAATCAATCGATATTGGTGGCTCATTAATTACATACTTGCGAGTGGAAGAGTGAAGCAGCTGATTTTTCGCAAAACAAGCAGTGGATTGGAAGCTCTTCAATCCGCTATTTACTTGTGAGTGTTCTCAAAATTCATATAATAAAGTGACATTTACAAGGGGGTGTCTCCAGGATCTATCCTAAAAAGCCATTGGGTGTAGTCCCTTGCTAGCAAGAGGGAGTTAGACGATTTCCTCCTATTGTCCCCCGATCTCACCCACTATTCCCGAAGTCGGTTAGCTATTCCCCGAGGAATGTCAAACCCTGATCCCACCCCTGCCCTTTTGTGAATGATCGGAATCATTCGAGCCTCACGTGCGATGGAGAGTTTTGAACTCTCACGACGCGTGAAGCGAGGATCATTCCCAAGAATCAGCATCCCCTTCACGACATAGAGAATATCACATGTTTTCACATATTTGATGTATCGAACAATCAAATATCTGTAACAATCACAATATGAAGAATAAATATTGTTATACAACCAGATGTTTGATATTATTAGAGAAGTTGTATGTACATGCTTTCATCATAAAATTATTGTAGTTCTCACTTCTCTAATTGAGAAGATTGGATTGTAATAATATAATTTGATGATACATGCTATTGATATTCCATTTAAAGATCCAAGAAACATTCAACCCAAAGAAAAAGTTTTAAATATTAGTTTTAAAAGATGAACCAATCATTAATTTTTATCACAAATAATTGTTCATGAAAAACTAATAGCAATTTATTAGGTGAATTAAAATTTTCAAAGGTAGTACTAAAAGCACATTATTTTGATTATTCAACTTCACATCATATTATTACAGCCAAGTATTCTCATATGTTGGTTTGGAACTTTATCGTTGAAATAATTGTTGCTTGTCAACTTTTACTAGTAGATGTGTTTAATTATCAACAATAGTAGCGGTAACATGAGAATTGAGTATTAGATTTAGAAACGTGTTCTTTACTTTCACAAGGTTTTGTTGTCAAACGTAGAATATGAAATTGTGACTTTTTAAATCCAAATATGTCCTTGGTTAAAATTGAATTGAACTCGTAAACTATATTCCGAAAAATAAGATTCGAATAATAGATTTCAACTGAAATTCAAAACTGCGCCAACATATATTCGAGACAAACAAATTAAGAGTGTTATTGATCTGAACGACAATTTCAATGATATCTATGATTGCATATGAAACTTATTTACTATATTAACTACCATGTAAGCCTCGACATTTAAATAAAGTTTATCAAAAGTATATGTTGAAAAATAATAACAAATATGAATGATTTAAGGTAATGATCACACTGACACATCGTAGATTTTCATATCTAGAAATTCGTGTTTATATCTCGAACCATTATTTAGTATAGAAACCGACGGAAATGAACCATTTTATTAACGAAATATATATCGACAGGGCATACAGTCACAACGCATTCAAGCACAAAGAGCACGCAACCCGGGAAAGCCAAGTTTTGCGACCCGCATCGCACGGGTCTGGGAGAGACTGCAAGCAGTGTTGAACGGCTTGGATATTCCTGTCAGAAGCCTCAGGTGCCTGCCCGCTTTAATGGCGAGGACTAAGGCCGGCGTCGGAGAGATACGCTCTGTCAGTGGGAGTATTCTATCGCTTTTCACACAAGAATGAATGAACTCATCACAGCGCGATGTGGCTCGTCAGGATGAATGCACACGTCAAGGGCAACCTGTGAGTTCATCCCGGGGCCATTCGGTGGGCACTCGTGTAAAGTATGTGGGATCGGTCTGATGAACACGGGAAAGATTTGGAGTCCGAATTGCGGATCCCTGCGTTGCAGAGGCCCGCGTGTGGCTGGTTTTTAGATCGGCATACGTTTATCATGGGGATACTAGAGGACAAAGTTCACAAGCAGGACAAGCCACAAGATTGTAGATTTTGAATGAGGTGGAAGCATAACTAGGTGTACAGGACGAGTCGGTGTAAGAGAGAAGCCTTTTGCTCGCTACTGCACCCCTCAAGCCCTTACTTCCGTCGTGTCCGCACGAGGACGTTGTTTGCGTGCAAGACGATAATGTATGATCTAGAGAGAGAGAGTCACTTCAAACAAGCATCAAAACAAGAACGGAGCGTGTGGAGTTGTTCCGGTGGGAACGACGCGTACAGGACGACCGGAACTCAATTGTATCTTTCGATAGCAGCTCTTGTTTCCATTCTCTGCCCAAGTTCAACCTGTCAACGCCACCAGAGGCAGCTTGGGAAAATACAGATAGCGGACGTTCTTGACGCAGAATGATTCTTCGATGCACTCCGATCTCACTCATGTTTCATTTTCATTCAGATGGGTGCCGTTTATTGCAAGTCTGACTACGGCTTCCACGGTCCCTTTTTCCGGAAATACCTTTAACCTTCAAGTCGCTTCCGCCCTCTGGGGAGAAGTATCAGTTGATATCCCATGATACGAAGAACTTACAAGTCTTGGTGCAAGCGTAGTCGGACGGACGCCTGCAAGTGGATACCTCACCATTTTCTTGCTACACTTCTTGAGTTTCCTATTTCTCGGTCATCAACTTGCCTCTGAGATCGACATCGGCCTTTCACGGCTGCAGGAATTCCTAATTACCACCATCCGTTCCGGTCTTTGTTTGATGGGCCATGATTGCTTGATCTGATTTACGTTGCAGACTCCTAAAGTAGTGCACTGGACACGTCTTGGTTCATATCTTTCGGTCCTATTGCCATCAAAGGAAATGGCGGCCATCTTTATGGAGGTGTTGGCGGGAATCTGTGCGATATCTGCAATTGTCGTGGCCCTTGTTCATATTTTCAATCATTTGCGGAACTACACCGAACCCACCTATCAGCGATATACAGTTCGAATCGTATTCATGGTCCCCGTAAGTTGTTCGTACTTCCTTGAATTCGAATATAATTTTGACAGCAAGAAACTCTTCACATTTCATTGGCATCGGAAAACTTAGGGATTAGGAACAAGTGCTTTTCTTTGCCACCGATATTCGCCACTTAGTCCTGTAAAACTAGTGGATATGTCCTGGTTTTGATTCTCTGCACATCAAACAGTGGCTTTGTTTCTTCCTCTCTTTTGTTCAGTTTCACCTATGGGAGGTAAATAAATCAGAAATTCACGTTTCCAGTCACCATATGCCTGCGAGATGTGGAGCACTTCTCAGTCAGATCCTTAGGGCAGTAGGTTTCTGACTTACATGAAATTCACGTTCCTGGCACAGTGTGAGAAACTTTGTTTGCACAGAAGACAGGCCTAGACCGTGTAAAGAGAATGGGAGCTGGGCAAGTTTACAGACATAGGATGGTGATGACGTAGTGTCTAAAGAATGCTTTTTTGGCATTTTGTGTTCTGGGGTTGGACTTAGAATTTATTTCTAGCAAGTGTAGCTCAAAGCTTGTTCTCTTATATTGAATGGGTATTTACAGTGTCTGTTATGTTCTGGACTAACATCTCTTAGTGGTCTTAGTGGGTGTAGAACCTGATGTGACATTCATGAAGTTCTCTCCTAGGGTTGAAAACTCACCTCTCCTCGACTTTTTAGCCTTTTGTATCCATGGCTCGATGATGAATGTTGTGTCCGATCATATTTAATCTTGAAGTCAATCAATAAGACATGTCGTTTCAGAGAAATGAATAATCAAAATGGTCCACTAGCTAGACCTTGCCAGCAATGCCCTGCATTAACGTTACTTAGTCCCCAGATGGCTGCGTACTCTCCCTAGCATCAGGAATTACATCAACGAATTAGTTAGGCACAGGGCTGTTGTCTATGAATGGACGATCTACTGCGCAGTTGAACGTGTTTCGATTTTGATCTACCATGGCTAGCGCACAAATTAATTGTCATAATCCGTAGTATAAGTAATGTACGAGTAAATAAGTGTTTCTTCAAACACACAAACATATGAACTTGCCGTTTGTTGTCGTCGTCTACGGTAGTTTTCTTAAATATATTACTTGTTTTTTATGCAGGTTTATGCAGCAATGTCCTTCTTGTCTCTTTTAATGCCCGACAAATCTATCTACTTTGACTCTTTCCGAGACATGTAAAGGCCTCTTTGTCTTTTTGGTTTTGTGAGACTTGCACATGAGTTTTTATCTTTGCCATTGTTCTAGAATGTTCAACATACTTGTTTATGTGAAGGTTAGTCGTCGTTATTCAGAACAATACTTTAGAGTAAGACCGATAGACGAAAGTCGAGTTCTTCGAGATGACAGATGAAATTACCATGTTCTATTTTGGTCGTCAATAGAAACATATTGAGGTATGCTTGTTTCCATTTTGTCGTGGACAGTCATGCGACGTATACACCTGTAATGATGGATCAGCCGTCGTTATTAGGGTTGATTCCAGACAATCACTTCAAAAGTGAATGGGTTCAAGTTTTGTTTTACTTGTACACAATCTGACTTGTGTCTGCAAATTGTGTGCAGATACGAGGCATGGGTAATATACAACTTCATGTCTTTATGCCTCGCTTGGGTGGGGGGTCCTGGAGCCGTGGTAACAAGCCTGGCTGGCCGTTTTTTAAAGCCTTCATGGCACCTTATGACTTGCTGCCTGCCAGCTATACCTCTTGATGGGTCAGTGTACAACTTTACTTTCCTGGTTCTTTCAAGAACTCATTCACAATTTTAGCCTGTATTTTAGCGTATAGCCCTAACATTCTCGTTTGAATGCATGAATAGATGGGACTTTGATCAAAACCAAGACTGAAAATTGTACGATTTTGCTAACATTTCTGGTACTTAGACTGAAGTGTCTTTTTGTGATTGAGGTTTTTCTTTTTTGTTCTTTTCTTTTATATGTATTATCAGGTTACTGCTGGCAAATACTTTTGAGTTCAGCTCTATGTATAGCAAGTATTTAAGATATCTGTTTTTGGAATGACCTTTTCTTCTCTGGATCTTTGGTAACATAGTATATCAACAACAATCTGTCAAAGTAGCTCACTATTTAAAGAAGATATTTGATAACTTCCGTCTTGGTAACACGAGCAAGTTCTTTCTCAGTCAGGTATTGGACTTTCCCCTGGGATGGGCAAAAGTGACTGATGCTATCTGCCCTGGCTAGTTATTTTGCTGGATATCTGCTCGTTACTTTGATCTTATTGAGCGGTGGATGTTTAGGTGATTCACGCCGTGGTGAGGTTTTCCTCTTTGATAATGGATACGTGTATTGGAGAAACTTGTGAGACTGGACTGTATATAGAAGATTTAGTTTTGGAAGGCTGAAGGAAGCACTGGAGATGGATCACGCTGTAAGCCTGTCCGCTCCTTCATTTCTTCATTTTTTCCGAGTGGTTTTGGGTGAAAATTTAACGGGGAATCTAAGAAGCGGTTGGAAGCTAACATATTCCATCTGACGTCTCAGAGTAGTGATCGCCATATTATGTAACAATTGTCCTTTCATGGTGGTTCTGAAGTTCATATCGGTGCGTGTATCACTCCCGCCAGTTTACTGCCATCCTAATGTTCTTCATAAATTGACGCAGTTGGGTGGCTTAAAAAATTATACAATTCGGTAGTTAATTTGGTTCTAGGTCATTTTGAGATTTCAATTGTTTTGTATCGTCGTTACCTGACGTTCTCATGCATTTTTTTTGTTATGCGGTGGCCTTCGGCGTTTCTTTTTTGCATTTTACCTTAATATTTGCTTTTGCTGCGGAGTTACAGGTTTTGTCTCTCTCCACGTAGTTCCATCCTACCTGATATGTAGCTGTTTACCCGCTCATTCTGTGATCTTCGGAATTTTTCCAACATCGTGTCCAAGTCCTGATGTCCTTGCTTTCCACTTGTTTTTCTGAATGATTCCTAAGTGAATGCTGACTTAGAAGCACATTGTCTCGCTGTATTGTTCTTCTCATGTACAGGGATCATTGTAACTTTAGAAAAGTGGACTGAAATGTTGTCAACCTGGATATCTGTTTTTTCTCGTAGTGTCCCAGCAAAATGGTAACTTTATGTGTTTGAACATGAAAACAGGCGATTTATTCGGCGTTGCAAACAGGGTTGTTTACAATTTGTGATACTCAAGCCGCTGATGGTCGTCGCAACGCTATGGATGTACTTCAAAGAGAAATACAGTGACGGTTCTTTCAAGGCGTCGTCAGGATCTTTATACGTGACACTGATTTATACAGCATCTTACACATGTGCTCTTTGTGCTCTTCTCCTCTTCTATTTCGCATGCAAAGAATTACTGCGTCCATTCAAACCTCTGCCCAAGTTTATCATCATCAAGTCTGTAGTATTTTTGACCTACTGGCAGGTACGTAACATTTATGTGTTCATACGCCGTAGAGAACGCATGAAATCTATGCTCTAGTTGTTTCCTATCAGCCTGTGTAGATTTTCCTGTAGCGACGTTCATTGTTGTAGAGGAATAGAGCGGAAGGAATACCGAAGCTTGAACTCAAATGATAACACTTCTGGAAGCATCTTTGGTGCAGGGAGTCCTCGTGGGACTGATGGTGTCTTTTGGCATAATAAAGAATGAAAACGATTCGGCAGATCTTCAGAACTTTCTTATATGTTTGGAGATGTTGGCTGCCGCAATTGGACATCTATATGCGTTTCCCTACAAAGAGTACGCGGAGGCCAATGTTGGCAGTTCTGGTGGCATGTTGACGAGCATCTCTCACGCAATTAACTTCAATGATGTGGTTTATGATACTATGCACCAGGTTTGTGACAGTTTCTTCTTAAAAATTAAAACCTCTGCAAAGCACGAGAAAATTCGATTCTAGATCAAGGTTTGTCAAATTTTAGTTGCTTCAATATTTATTATATCCTCAGTTATACCCTACGCGACTTCCGTTTGCTCACAACTCAGCACCGGACTGGACTGTTCAAGTAAGTTACCAGTTCGATGCTGAGTAGGTTACAAAACGTCTATTTTCTGCGTGGAAAGGTTTTGTCACTCAGCTGCGGGTACAACTGGAACTTTATATCGAAACTCGTTTCAGTTTCAGTCGTAGTCCTTTAACTTGATCTTTCTACTTGAACATATGCCCTCTTACGTTTTTTAAAATAGTTGATATGTGAGCTGAGTGAGTAGTTTGTCAAGATCGATATCAATTATGCAGGTTTAAATACAGTCCAGCTCGTAAATTGGTCGAAACCTTTACTGTCTTTGTCCCAGGGCAGTCATCGTGATGAAAGCCCTGGTTTTTTGTGGATTTTCTTTGTATCTCCTTAGCATGATCTTCGCAATCAAGCTCGATGATTTTGGCTGGTCATGCTTTTCTTACTACAATTACGTTTTGGTGCCGCAGTTCGCTCCGACATATCACAACTATGTCCTCTATAGTGATGGCTCTCAGGAGGCACCCACCAAGTACAGGGCCCGGACGTTTATAAAGACAGGGCAGGAAATGGAGACACTTAGAATCAACAAGAATATGGGTCAGTCTAGCAAGTTGGATGAAGGTGCCTATTCCTCTGGTCTATCATCATCTGAAGGAGGCAGTCCAGTCAAAGCAGAAGTAATTAATAAGAGTAGTGCGAAAGGAGGAGAGACCTTCAAGAGTTCGCTATTGACCGAAGACGAGTTTTCACTCGCTTACGACATGTCACCTCTTGATGCACCATCCGGGCATTCAAAGGCTGCCCAATCTGGGCCTTCTGCTTCAGTGGGGAATTTTGATCCTAGAAACCAAATTGTCATGGATTTTGACCCTAGAAAACAAAGTTCCATAGCAGAAGAAGTTCAGCAGAGACAAAGGCCTCCAGGGCAAAATAGTAGTGGGCTGGATAGCAGAAGGCGAAGCAGTACAGGGGAAGATGCGTTTGAGGAAACAAGGTTGACCGATAGGAGGAAGAGTTCTCACGGTGTCTTGATGGAGGAAATAGACTTCGTTGGGGAGGAGGACGCTTATCACGAAGGTTATGTGCAACATTGACCTTACGCTAGAAATTTTGATGTATATTTTTCAGACAGCCAAATCGCCGTCTGTATGTGTCAACCCATGGCTATACGTATCTCGTGTTGTTTATTTCTGAGATTCTCCCTTTGACCCGCAACTGACCCTTGAAAGGTCTATTGGGTCACTAGAAAGATATCTGATCCGTTCATATCCTTGTAGGCTTTACTTGGAGCCCCTAGAGCACTTCTTCTCTAGCCCTATGTGCATTAAAAAAAAATTATTCCGTCAAATTCGTCTCGAGTGGATTTAATTTCCTATATCTTACATACCACTGATATTGATCCTGGGTCTGTGATCTGCAAATGTTCTACATAACAAAATGGTGTCAGTTTATTTTTATTTTTATATATATTTTAAAAAAACTGCTCAATCTTGAGCAAGTGCGCCATCGAGCCTGGTTACAAAAATTGGCTTGTAGAGGTGTTCCACATAGTTTTTCTCCAAGCAGAATAGATTCTGCACCCATGACTCCATGAATCAATGGAGAACTATGTGATCTTCAGATAAGGTGCCGGCGTCTGTCTAGACTGGGTGGTTTGTGAGTTTCTGCGTATGTTCCTTTGATGTGATGTTTTCAGGCCTTTGTCAAAGCACCCAACTAGCTGAGCCGATCTGAAATTTACGAATTGTTGTGGCTCTAGACAGTAGAGGTGACCAAGTATTTAGGTCACTTGAGCCATCGAGACAGGAACAAAAGTTCCTCTTGGTTTAAAACAATATTGATTGTTTGGTGCAGACTAATGAGAAATGGTTTTGCTGTAAGCAAGAAACGTAGAGCTAAATGTTGAAAGAACACTTTGAATTGGTTTAAAAATAAAAAAGTGAATTATTTACGAAACCGCTGGGGTTGGCTTTCTATTGAGCATTTGTTTCATTTTTGTTTGAACCTCAATTGGAGATCTTGCGCCGGACGATGTTGCGTACAAGGATCTTTACTTCCACGGAAGTGAAGAAGTAGCAAGTAATACATGTAATTTGTTTTTGAATCATTTGTAGTCGAGAGTCTCACACGAGAGGTGGTAAGGAACTAATCCAAGCAACATTCACTATGCTGATTGCGGTCACAGAGCTGGTTAGTTATCACTTCTAGTTACATCAGAAAAGAAATCCATAGCAGCTTTACTAAATAGTAACTTTAATGGAATATTCACACAACACCAAAAGTGAAGTCTTGTGAATGTAGCGAATGTAGCATGAAACTCCTGGGCCTCCAATAACTGTCAAAGTTAAAGTACACGACATATTTACACATAACAGCAAGTAGAGTGAAGAGAAAATTTTAAGATACAAAGCAATATAGACATGTAGAAATGCTCTTTTGACATGCGAAAACTATCAAAGTCAAAGCACATCAATTATCTAAAGTTAAAATTGTAATGAATCCACCTGAGTATCACACAACTCCAACGAGAGTACATATAGAATTTCAAGCAAAAATACAATGTGACATAGGTATGAATGAAAACTCTTTTGGCTCCCGACAACACTCAAAGTCAAAGCACATAAAATCGAAACAAATATATCGAACGGTAAATATGTAGTGAATCCACCTAAGTATCACGCAGTCCTAGCACTTTATTTTTCTTTATAACAGAATTGGTAACTAGGTAAATGAGTTTGTACATTAGTTCCAGCCACACCTGCACGTAGATATCATATCATATCATATCAAACCGTAATCTACAACGCCGACATCAAACTTTGTAATAATTGTCATTACATGAAAATGTTGTAAATCTTCTCTGTAATTGAATCCATACTCAACCTCTAACTTGCAGAATCTAGTGGTGAAATCTATATGAAAAAGTTGAAATCTTATTATTTGTAGCACAAGTTTAAGATACCATAGTGCACAATATGCTAGGAAACATGAGATCTTGAGACAAAGTTCTTGGATGCAACCTGCACTTTTCACATATAACAACCGTCAATATATGTCATACATCCCTTTGAAAGCAGCGTATTAATAATATGCATATATCAAGTTTTTATTCTTTGACATTTTTCTATTTAAACTTATAATATTATTCTTGTTAGTTAAAAAGTCAAAAGCTTGGCTAATAGAATCATAGTATTTATATCATATGCTTAAATGATAATGTAAATCTTGTCACGTGAAAATAATGGACATGAAAATAAAAACTTGTAAGATTTATCAGAATATGTATTCGTTGAGATTAAACGGTGAGCTATAAATAAATAAATATATTCTGTTACAAAAAGTGCTGATGAAAGAGAAAATATCTGAATAATATGAAAATGAGGGTTGATTTAGCTACATCATTTATCTAAGCTTTCATATATAGATGCACATAAGATGATATTATATTTTGATGTTGTTAGAAGTGTTCGAATGTTATAATCTACAATATTAGTCTGTATGAATGTTCAAAACAGCTCTACAATGCAACGAAAGAGCCTCACAACCTGCCAATTATAAACTGATGTGGACATAGATGGTGCTAAAATAGTGAATCCACAAACCTAAACCTCATGTTATAACGATTATAAATTCATATGGACATGAATGATACTAAAACAGTGAACGGTGCTGCATGATCGCAATGCAACCAACAAATTACGATCAGATTTTTTTTTATCGTAATTGGTATTATATTCTTAGTATAACTTTTTACCAAGAGGAGCTGATTGAAACTTAGCGCCTCTACACCACAAAATTGTTTTATCTTGCAATGCATGAAATTATTTGAAACCACTATAATATCATGATTTTGGAAGTTTTTCTGGAAATGTTTGTATATCATCATCGCCATGTCATTTGCAAATCAAGGGAAACATAGCATAGATTTTGGACCAATAATGAATAAAGAATATTTATATACTCTACTCGTCGATACTGTAAGAACTAAAATAAGGATTTTCTCTTGTATTCAATTGTAAAAATGTAATTTCATGAAGATGAAGGGTAAATTTAGCTCAATTATATTTCTCTCGTCATTGAATCTTACATTGTTGTCATCAAGGTGCATCAAAAGTATCATATGGTTAGATATAAATGATCACTTGTGTGACTTGGACAGAATACTCTCGCAAAATAATGCAATCTATAAGTCAAAATCCTTGAAACTAGCAGTAATGTTTCTACGTCCAGCTTGATTTTCAGCGTGACGCAAGTACCATAATTTAATTTAGAAATATTAAATATCATGTTAGCTCGTCATTTGAATCATGTGCCAACATATGAAGCAGTAGACTTGAAACACCTCAAGACTAATTGTGAAATGCACAAATTAGACTATGAAAAAAACGTGAACATGAGATTCTAGAATAAAAATCATAATTTAGACAAACAATGTGATTATAATCATTCTTAAGGTCTGATTGAAATACCTTGAATGAGAAAAAATAAAATTGTTTTTCTGGGTGTGATCTTAACGTGATAGATATCCATTTTATATATATTTAGTGTGATAAATCGCGAAGCAATCTTGGAAGGGTGCATATGGTTTAATACTAATGTTACCTCCAGAAGAACCCGCTCGGACCCTGAGCCCTTCAACAAGGTAATATTTGTATTCAGGAAACATGGGAAAGGGTTTGTCTGAATGTCTGCATGCGAATGGGGGAAGGTAGAATAAACATGGCCTGTACAATGTCTCTTAGAACACCTCACTGCGCCAGCGTGGCAGTCGGGTCTCGGCTCGGGCCCGGGAACCGCAATGATTTGAAGGAGACACTGATCTCCCGCCAAATTTGAGGATTCGCGCCACTTCTCCAGGAAGCAGCAGAAGGCAGCGACGAGGCGCCCCGGCCTTCACTTGTCGATGCGAGTCAACGTTCATCACTCGAAAGAAATGCAGTCCACACTCCTTCTCCATCTAGTGCTCAATGTGCCCAATGTATGTCCGGACGCATCAAATTGCAGTGTTGGATGGACGAGAACACTTCGTCGAAAAGGACCGACAGCGCTCATGAGGATTTTCCTGCATCTTTCTTGACGAATCGTCGTGCAGCTGACGCCTGCTCGAGGTGGCGGAAAGAAACGGTCTGGTAATGGGGAAGAAGAGCAGGGCAGATGCTGTCCGATTGGAGAAAGAGGCCGAGCGCCGAATCGCAGGAGAAGACTGTCGACATTTTCTGAGCGACCGCTTTCCTGGTCGGAACGAGCAAATTGATAATCTGCTCTGCATTCTCGGAGAGCCATGCGACGCCTTTCCACCGCTCCTAGTTTACGGCAGCCCAGCCACTGGGAAGACGAGCATACTCCGAGAGTCGCTCTCGTTCCTTGGGAGGCCACATGCTTACGTCTCGTGTCGCTCTTGTCACTGCCCGAGGCTTGTTTTCGAGTCCATACTGAATCAGCTAGTCGGTCATGTTCGTTCCAGAGCCAACAACTATGCGAGTGCTCGTAGGTGCGAGAAATTGACAGATTTCGTGACGTACTTGGTCGAATTTTGTGGTCGGAAGGAGCTGGTTAGTACGAATTGCGGAAATTTGAATAAGACGGTTTATTTGATTTTCGACAACGTGGAGCTGATTCGTGGGTGGTCCGGCGGTAATGTGCTCATCTCATCCTTGCTGAAACTCGCAGACTTAACACGTCTACCCAATTTGGGTCTAATTTTTGTGAGCAGCGCCGGCCCAGATACGTTGCAGCTCGGCTCCGCGTCACGGGAACCTCTTCCGCTTCATTTCAAAGATTATAGTAACGAGGAGCTGTACCAAATTCTGACTAAGCGTCAGCCACACTCCGAGCTCTATTCATTCTTTCTCAAGTAAGAATTTACGATCGAAGCAGGAATCTATTGGATTCTCCATGACTCAGCTCTTTGACTCATCAGTGAACGACTTCAGCGGATTACTGTCTCTGACTTGAGCTTAGTCTTTTGGCTACTCTCGACCGCATTTTGCCCCGCTCACGTTAATTTTTGTTCTGATGTCTGCAGGTCTTCATTGGCCCCCTTCAGTCGAGCAAGCAGAAAAGTGACTGAGCTAGCTGAAAGCCTCCATCCTCTATTCTTGAAATACTGTGAGCCGTTTCTAAATGGCAAAGTGATTTTGAACGATCAAGGGAAGCGCGAGCTTTACAAGTACATGGAACAATACATTCAACCAGCGATGGGTCAGTCGTTCTCAATTGCAGATCCTGACAAGGGCGTGAATACAAAGCAAGAATGGAAATCTATGATCTACAGCAGGCCGTTGGCTAAAACTGGATTGGGATTCCATTTGTCCCTCTGCAGCAGATATCTGCTGCTTGCAATTTACATTGCATCAAGAAATCCGTCCACCTTAGACGATGCTCTCTTTGGCTCAGGAGAGGGTGCGAAGACGAAGCGCAAGAGGAGGTGAGTTTCGGCTGGCTAGGGGTTTCCAAGCTCAATTTGACAAGCCTTATTGTTCGTTATCACAGTCTCATGGTCAACCATATGTTCCGAAATCCACATGAAATATGGCATTGTTGCAGCTATTTGCAAATGGTCACTTGTGATTTTACTTTTCACTTAAAATGCAACGTCGAGCGTGTTCGTTTCGAATTTTGGAAGGGTCGCATGCACTCATGTCATATGTCACCTGGGGATGCAGGTCATCAATGTCAGCCATGGACAGGGACGCAGCCATGATGCAGGAGAAGCAGCTAAAAGGTCCCAGTGTTTGTCCTCTGGAAAGACTACTGGCAATATTTCAGTGCCTTGCCGTGGATAGAAACGTCTCTTGCGAAAAGTTGACCGACTTTAAGCTTGATTCTTCTGGAGAAGATTGTCGACAGTTGAAGGACGTGACCTCGAACGTGCAAATGGAGCTGGTTACACTCACCAGTGTGAATCTAGTACTCAAAAGCTCATCTAGCCCCCTGGAAGGACTACCAAGATTTCGAGCTAATGTAGACACGGACTTTATTCACGAGGTGCGTCCTCTCTCCTCTATTGCACCTGTCCTACTAATCAAAAACGTCCAGAGAACAGTCTTTCTATTTTTCTCTGAACCGCAGCAATGACGAGGTATTTGTCATGGTGCCGGTGAGATGTCGTGCATTTACTACGTTCCCAAGTGTTGCCTGGATCCGGTTCTGCCTGGTGTCTTCAAGGTTTTCGATTGAACTAGATTGGCTGAGCGACTCTATTATCTCTTCCATTCTCCTGTGAGTACGGAAGAATGTAGATACTGACGTAGTTGAAATGGCGAAGGCCATCTTCGAGTCATAGGAAGATCGAACGCGTCTTCACCTCTTGACTGAAACTGACTATTTCTAGCTTGTTGTATGACTATCTGCAGCATTGACATGAGTGCCCACTCAACTGGTTGCTTTCTTTCCCCCTTTCCTATGTCCTACCGCACCTTAGTTTTGCAACCTCCAGTGACTGTCAGGCGAATTGAGATCCAGGCTTCAAAGTTTGCTATTTTGTTACACCGTGTGAGGTCGCCTCGCTAACGAAACAATGCGTCTTGCAGGTTGCGAGAAGCATTTGCTTTCCACTGGACAAGTATTTGCTTAATGCGTGAGAGAAGAGAAATCATCGATTCGGGGTGACCCCGACAAATTCTTATCCTCTTCCTTGTGCTCCAAAGGATGGACACCTTTGGCTCGCACTTGAGATCTCAACCCCCGCATTGTCATTGAGAATCTTGTCAGGAAAGCAGTCAAGACAACAGTGAAAAACATATGTATCGTCTGTCTATTCTCACCTCATTTTAATTGGGTAGTCAAATCGTAAGGACTAATTGGCTTTAAAACCAGATGTCACGTTTACTACACCCTCCCTGATATGAATGCAATCTATAAGAACTTCCCATATGACGATTTGGCCAGGTTCTTCACTGTTTCCAAATCGCATCACATACCGGTGTAATATAGAAATTGAGGTCGGGAAGTAGCAACTACTTTTTCTTCCCGCATATCTCGTGGGAACCAGTATATACTTCATTGGGAAACAGGAGACACTGAAAGGAACAATTGATTATCGAAAGTATGTTTGTGAGAAGAGTTGATGTTCTCTTCAGACTGAACGTACTTTCAAGTTGTGTGTCGTTGAGTTTTCGTTACGATTTTCTTCCAATCAAACCAGACACCACCATCAATGTTATCATCAATGGAGTCATAAGGTAGATGTCGGAGCTCTGGATGATTGTATAGCAGGTCACAGTTAGATTATCCTAGCTGTATATACTATTTAGAAGCGCTTTGAGAACTAGTACACTATGTCAATTTCACATTATGCTTGGAAAAGTTCTCTAAGCGACCAACTACATAATTGGTGGCATAGATATTTCAGTGGTGAACAGCTTGTAAACCCTGTGATATTTTTAATAACCTTTTTGGGTAGTGTATAGTTCTTGTTTGACGTTACTCATTTAATGAGAACGTTGACGTTCATATTATAATGGCTTATACTCAGGCTGTCCCCAGTTCGGAGGTCGACTCCCGGGAGTCGACCCAGATTTTGGAGCATGGAAATGTAGGGCCTGTGAAACCATTAAATGCTAACCACAAATATGCCCTAGATTTGCAGAAAAGAAATGATCGTACAAAAAAATTAGAAACTTGGAGGAAAGAAATGACCGTGCAGTAGTACTAGAAACTCACGAGGTTTTTTTCATTTATAACCGGAGTGAATCTATGAGTGATGGCTAATCAGCCCGAGGTGACCCCCACTAACATAATCTATTTGAACTTCTCAAGATTAAATAATACTATATTGTAAAAAATTGTGTACTTAAGATCAAACTTTCTAGCAAGGTGATGACTCGAAATCATCACCTTGCTAGAAAGGTGATGATTTCTTTTCATCACCTTTCTTTTCTTTTCATCTTTTCAAACCATTTTCTAAGAACAGTCTACAAAAGAAAAAACTCTTTAGAAGAAACAATGCAAGTTTTTTAATTCTTGGAACAAAACATTTCCACCTACAAATTATAAAAAAACACGATTATTAGAATAGAAAATAAGTTTCAAAATACTCTTCCACGAACGTTGTGTACCTGATTCATGAAATTTTGTTTCTAAGATAGTACAAATGCTGAAATTTGCACTATAATTTTGTCTTACTTTGCATCACATTGATCCGTACCCTCTGGTACATTTTTCTCTAAAAAGTGTCGATTTCATACTTTGTTGAATTCTTAATTATGAGGAGTATGCTATTTGTATGCCTCACATCACACTTTTGAATTACCATTTCTGTTTTTCACACATTTCTTAAAATACATGGATTCAGATTTTTACAAATTTATCTTTGACTAAACATGCTGATACTATTCCATACTTTCATGTCGTATTATTTTTAAATTCAATCTTCAAATATCTTTAAACTGTAGTTTATTTCTACATTAGTCACTCTCTCATCTTATGAGCCCACTTTCTTTTTCAACATTGAATTTGATACTGTTTCAATCAAAATTTCACCCTAAATTTGATATTTAACTTCTTATTGGGAAAAAATGTGTCTTAAAACTTCTATATACATGCAAATGTCTCATGTTGCAGGTGCATATCTCGGCCAATAACAATTACACATGTATGTAATGTAGGTCAGTATATTTTTTTATATACATCTTTTTAATCTGATTTGAACTATTTAGCTTTTTGAATTCTTTTCGTTTGTGTTTACAAGCTCCAAACGGTCAACAATTTTAGATTGAAGTTTCAAATTTCAAATTTAATTTTCTTTAAAAAAAATTAAGATTCAACATGACATGAAAACTATATTCTTTACATAAAATATATTATTTTCGTTTTTAAATAATAATCACATTGTTAGTATAACTCTTAGGTCTCAGCTAACTCTAGTTAGCTGAACCTTAGTTAGGGACTAGGTTAGGTTTGGGTTGCTTGCTATATAGGTGAGCAGGTGTGAGCTCACTAGATGAGACAAAGAACACTCGTTGTGTATGAGTGCTTCAGGTATAACGTGAGAGCTTGGAGAGCAGAGATCCGGTACGGCTATGACTTAAAGTCTTAGTAAAGTTCTCATTGTTCACGTGCACGTAGCATCAATGTCTTAGTAAAGTTCTCATTGTTCACGTGCACGTAGCATCAATGTAAGTGAACCACGTTATCTCTTGGTGTCGACTTGTCTCGTGCGCGTATGTCTCACTATGCATCCCGTATGTGTTTAACACTCATGTTGAAACATAAGTTTAATTACAAAGAATATATTCTTTATTTACTCAACTATTTCATAATCAGTGTATTTGTTTTAAATCATGCAAAGTCTCATCATTCCTTGAACTTATATTGTTTCATGTATCATGTTTGGATCTTGTAATGCTTTTCTATTACAATAAGATAAACATGATGAGAGCAAACCAAATGAAAATTTCCTTTAATTAAAAAATTATTAAAAGATTATATATATTTTTATTTATATACCAAAAATGCAGATAGAATGAAGTTTTTCAAGAGACAGAAAAAAAAACTTCCTATAATTGTGAAAAAAAATTCAAATTGATTAGATTTTTTTAACATATTTTTTTCATAATTTATATTTGATTTATGGTTGTTACATAAAAATATTACATATTAATCAAATTTATATTCTTAAAAAAAGAAGTTTTATTCATGTTCAATTCAAAATCAATCAGAATTTTTTATTGAATTTGAATTGAACATGAACAAACTTGTAATTTTGCAATTTGAAATGATAGTCTAAATTTGGATTATAAGCACTATTAAAAGTATACGATTTATCACATTTTGATAAAGAAAAATATTTTAATACAAAATAAATGATAAGATCTGGTATCATAGATCCATTATAATAAAGCTCAATATATTTATTTATTTGTTGTTGGTTTTAATAACAACATTTGAATTATGAGAAAAAAACATATTTTTAGTCGGAATGTGATTTTTCAAATTATATAAAGTAAATAAAAAGAATTCCCTCATTTATCACTACATTTTAGTTATGAACTTAAACTTCTAGCATTTACAAGAATTTATATTGAGGTTTTTAATCATATGAAACATTTCAATAGATATATCACAACATAATATGTTCTCTCTATAGTACAAAGTCACATCATAAAGATGCTTCACTCATATCATTCAATACAAATAATATCATTGTTGATTTAAATTCAATTTCTTGGTAAAGCTTTATTACTCTTTGGAAGTATAAATGCCACGAAAGCATACGTTGAAGAAGACTTTAGCATCATCAACATGTAAGTATTGACATGTGATCAAATCCACCTGAATTTCAGTATATTAACATTACATATCATTTTTCAAAGGTTTATCATACTCAACTTTGGATCTTCTCCTAACCAGTAATATACTATCATCACTGCTTGAACTCATTAACTTGATTCTAAAATTTCTTTCAACTTAACCAACGTAATATACAATTCACCACTTCAAGTTTGAATACTTTCTTGAAATCATACTTTTGCTGACAGTAATCTTCTTGGTATATGCTCATTGTGCAAGAGACTTTATATAAATATTCTCATGTGATAAGTGAAGTTAACACTTGATGATCATTGATAAGGAAGTTAAGACAGGGATCAAGTAGGGCAGTGAAAATCTTCCAATGCAGACAGAATTGGAAGATTTGGCCACTTGTAGACAGCATAGACATCGGCAGTTTCATAAAGGAGGAGGGAGTTGAGCTTGGTGGGGTATACTAACGTAACGGAGAATAGTTATGTACGTTAGCAAAGTCAGAAGCCACTTATGTATTTTTACCTCAACAAAATTTAGAGTAAACAAAATCAATCATGCAAAGACCCCATCAAGACTTACATGGATGGAAAGAACATTCTAATACGGGGCTAGCCCAATATGGCAGTATTAAGATGAATATGTCGATAATTAAAAAGATCAGAATGATGTAGAAAAATACTTCGAAACACAATATGAACATGATGATGATGATTTCCAATCATGACACCGGTGTCACCTGCCAATGCTTTCAGAAATGTAACGACATTGATTGCATTAAGCTGCACATTAAACCTAAGAAAGGATAACACGCCCGCCAAATTATGCCCTTGACATATTTCCCCAAGAGGAGACAGAGAGACCTAGATATACACTAATATCCATAATGCCAAATACAGAATAACAAGGTTTATTTCGAGAGAAAATCGTGAACCCAAAAGGCTATGGAAAAATCCCTGAAAAGCGTGAACCCTCCTCATCCTCATGTATTCGGGTAGAACATGAAGACCGGGGACTAAATTAACCCCCAAAGACAAATCATGGACCGCGCCGCCGCGAGGAACGTGCGAGGTAACATCAGCGTAACCATCCAAAGTAGTCGAGGTCAGAGTAGCGGGCCAAGCACGCTCGGCCAGTAAGGCTGCATCGCATCGCATCGCACATAATGACTCCGGCCATCGTCTGCCTTTAGATCTCGCCCGCTGAAGTGAAGGGAGCGGGGAGACGATCTCTGAAAGAAACATCGGCAACAGAGCACAACGACCAACTACTGTCTTGCCTCTTGATAGACCGATCAGGCGGGCACATTCATTCATAGATCTGCGCTCTCATCTTGCCCCGCCTTGCCTGGCCTCGCCTCGCCTGGGATGATCGGCTTGTCGTTGACTGCAGTGATGTCGATGTGATGCAGAAGCGACGAGCATTGCCGATGACGAGTGAAATTGGCTGACATCCGAGGTCGAAGACACGACATTGCAATGCGCATTAGGCTTTCGTTGCCCGGAGCGAATTATTGACGCTCCTGCCGCAGAAGGATTTGTGGATCGGGGCTCTAGGGAGGGTTGTAAAACAGAGCGGCCGTGGGTCGGATCTTCATTAGGTGTTGTGCGGAGGGTGGTGGTAGGTTATTTCTCGAGGTTGGTTGGTTGGTCGGGTTTCGAGTGAATCTGCCGGCCTTGGGCAGATTATTGGAAAGGTTTATCCGAGTTGTTGCGACGGGTGGACCGGTGGACTGGATGGGGGCAGGATTGAAAGTTCACACGAGAGGGAGGGAAAAGCTTTTCGACATTTGAGTGGAGATGTTTGAATAGCTGACGAAAGAACTCGGGGAAACACGCGCAATAAGTGTTTATTGAAATGAACTCGACCTGAAGTTTGATGTCCTCGATCTTGGCAGAAATTCAACCGAAGTTGCTGATATTGATAGTTCCCGAGGTCTCGACGCCTGCCAACTGGCATTGCTCGGTTTTGCTTATTCTGGCGGAATCTTTGGATCATCCAGGTTATTAACGCAATTAGCGACTGCCTTGTTAGCTTACCTGGAGTGTGATACTGGAGTCTTCTGTACTTCGTGTATTTTCCAGCGGGTTTCGGTCTCTTCATTTTGTCGCATCTTTCCTATCTTCATCGATAGTGTCATCGACTGAGTCTAATTTGACTAATTTGTTACTCTCCTACTATCCCCTGGGTACGATCATAGAAGTGGACTGATTTCTTCCAGCTCAATCCCGCGTCATCTTCTCGGATACTTCCTTCTCGAAAGGGAAGAAGAACGTAACACACACGGTTGTGTGTGTTGCGTTCTTCTTTAAAGTCTGTCAAAATTCAGCGTTTAGGGAGCGTGGATCTGGCGGCGGGGGATCCCAACACCTCACCATTTGTTGCACGCAGATTTGTGGCGTCCAGCACTGCCGTCATGATGGACGATGATCGGAAGGACGTGGAGTCCGCCATCATGGGGGGTTACCAGGAGAAATCAAAAGCTTTCTCCTCGTTGAAGCACAAGGCTAAGGCTCCTTGGGTGAGTTGCTCACGTTCCACCATGACGGGCCGTCTTGAAACATTCAAACAATAATGCAATCGTCATTTTGGGGTCGCCAGCTTTATTTCTCAAAGTTAATAAAGCGCATAGTGCGCAGCGAGGAACATTTAATTTCCTGGCGATGGATGTAGAACGGTGGACTACTTGTAGAAGCGAAAGTTTTTATTACGAGTGAACACTTACTAGACCGGAACAGAACATTTTATTACTCTTTAGCTTTGGGTAGACTCAAGTGGCCAGGGAATGAATCCCAAATGGTAGTTTTGGGTCGAGTGCCTGCTGCCCTTAGTCTTGCAATAGTACTTGAATGTCATGGAGGTCGATAAGCTAATATTCCATCTTTTTGGTCACTGTAGGCTTGGGTTGCTGAGAGAACTGCTTTATGGCGTGTGCAGATTGTCAGGTTTGTCCTGCGGTTGGATAAGCGAATTTACTATCTTATCACGGCCCTTACAATCCTGGGACTCTTCCGGATAGGAAGTCTCACGTCTCCAATAATTGTCTTTGTGTTGTTTGTTTGCACCCTGAGCATTGGACTGGCAACTTATCTTGCGCGCTGGGTGCTTGCAAAGGACGAGGGACCCCCAGAAATGAGTGAGGTGTATTTTCTAACCATCAAATCATACAGCCTACTCAACAACAGAGGAGAGGAAAAAATCAGTATTTTCGCAAAATATGATTTATCACGACGAGAGTGTGCAAATAAACTTTGACTATCTTCTTCAAAGGGTATAGTTGTAGCTGTTACGGAATTGTTTTTCCCACGGAATTACCGTTTTTGCCATTATCGACGTTTTCTTGACGCCGCCATACTGGTCGCTTACAGATTTCAGATGCCATTCGAGATGGTGCAGAGGGTTTCTTCCGCACACAGTATGGTACAATTTCGAAGATGGCCGTTGTACTTGCGATTGCTATAATGGGCATATACACCTTCCGAAAATCTACTCCTGAGCAGGAAGCATCTGGATTAGAAAGGTGCGACTTCAACATATATTGATTCTCTTTTTTTCTGCCTTGCCTGTTTCTTTTTTATAACCATATCGTGGAATTTCGAACTCGCAAGACTTGTTTGATGTGACTGACCGCGGAACGCCGCTTGTTGGATCCACCCACTTTACCGTGTCGGACAGGTCATCCTTGGCTTTTATTACTGTCCTTTCGTTCTTGCTTGGAGCATTATGTTCTGGGGTGGCCGGTTATATTGGCATGTGGGTATCAGTTCGGGCAAATGTACGAGTTTCAAGTGCTGCTCGACGATCGGCTAGAGAAGCTCTGCAGGTTTGCCTTGCATCCAGTTCTGAAAATTTCGCAGTACTCGCGTTTCAGTTTGTTGGTGATATGACTAAGAGAAGTTTGTTGATGCTGATCTCATCTTGCCGAACTTTGTTTTTCTGCTGACTCGCCCGCGTTGACCCGGTGTCATGATGGCCGTACACGCAGGTAGCGTTGCGGGCCGGAGGATTCTCTGCTCTCATAGTTGTTGCGATGACAGTCCTTGGAGTGGCAGTTCTTTACTCCTCATTCAGTGTGTTCCTGAATGTTGATGGTGGTCCTCATAATATGAAAACAACTGAATGTGCGTACAATCCAAAGCCTATGTTCCTAAAGAAAATCGTCTTAGGGCGTTGCAGATTGCTTTTGCATATATATTCTTGAACATTTAACTTTTAAGATTTTAAGGTGTCTCAACATACTGACGATCTTACAGGCAAAGCTACATCAAACTTAGAACAGATATGTCCCCTGTTGTCCTATAGCGGGAACGGAGTGATGTACGCTCACTTTCTTCGTTGATAATGGTCTCTAGAGTCCTACTCAGCATAGATAGCACTTTCCTTCCTTCGTACCCTCTGTGGACCTTTCAGTTTTACTCGTTCCATCTGTCAGTTGAGTTACCGCTGAGTTGCTGAACGCAATTCGTTATGCACGATTTCTGCTTGGTGTTCCTCGTCAACTTTGATTGCATTAGAGTCTCTTGCGTCATGCAACCTTTTCACATACGGGCGAGTCCTTGGTTTCATTGAGTCATTCGCTCTAATCAGCGTGGAATCTGCAGTTCACAGTACTGATTTAAAGTACTGGCACACCTCTTAACTTAAAGTCACATCCCCCAAGGCCCGTATTGAGTACTTACATTCGGTCTCGCTTTGTTCAGATGATATTGTATATATATACCACTTCGTTTGGTTTTGATGTCTACCCTGAAATGATTGGGTTTTAACTTTCTAGCTTTAAGTTTAGTTATATCGCTATAAGTGTCCACTGGTCAATACTGACAAGATTCTGGATCAAATTTGGGTTGTTTGTCTACAGTACCATTGCTATTGGTTGGATACGGGTTTGGCGCATCATTTGTTGCTCTCTTTGCTCAGCTTGGAGGCGGAATCTACACAAAGGCAGCAGACGTTGGTGCAGATCTTGTTGGAAAAGTTGAGCAGGGCATTCCTGAGGACGATCCCAGAAATCCCGCTGTCATAGCGGATTTGGTAAGCACCACTTTATTCTTCCATGTACTTTGCGTCTGTGTGCCGCTAGTGTAGCACAGTTTCGTACCGCAAGTGTTCGTCGCTCGGTGTATTTTCGGGAGGGTGGGTTCTGACGAAAGGCAACTTGACATTTACTGTTTTTTTGGATGGGGATTATGTCTGTTTATTGACGAGACCATCATCTTTTTGTAGCTCAAAATTATTTTCCTCAAAATTAGGATGTGAATCCGATTCTTTGTTTGTCTGTTGAGCCACGTCTTTGGTGTGGCAAAACGTTCGTCCGAGCATCATCTCGCTGTTCCTTGAATGAGGCGAAGCTCGTTCTTTCGTTTGAAGTGATGCATCAGCTCAGAGACTCAAATTTGCTCGTTCATATGTGGGACTTTCACTTATCACTTATCTATGTTCCGTGCTTTTTTGATAACAGCGAGATCAAGATGTTAGTTTTAGTATTTTGTTAGTGCCCTTCCGATCAATCCCTCGCAATTTTTCGCAAGGGGACTATCCTTTGTTCAATACATGGTCCCTATATCTGGCAATGATCTCTGCAATCATGCTGTACGTGGCCGTGCATTTTAAGGTTGCAAGACTGAAAGATATTGTGCATCTTGCAGGTTGGAGATAATGTTGGTGACTGTGCTGCTCGTGGTGCAGATTTGTTTGAGAGCATTGCTGCAGAAATTATAAGCGCAATGATTCTTGGTGGTAGTATGGCCAAGCGCTGCAAGTTGGAGGGTAAGTGCATTTTCTCGTCAGAAACTCTGCTCTTTATATCTTTCAAGAATGAATGAGTCGATGCAATGACAAAAAAACTTCGAAGTACTGTATTGATTTTTGAAAACATCGATGATATCACTTCACTTCTCGTTTGGGTTTCCTATGAGTGCTTGCACGTTTTTTGACCTTAATGGCTACATGTAGCTCGTAGTCTCGCTCTTGAATTTTCCGTCCTGAATGTGCAGATCCTTCAGGCTTCATTCTGTTTCCGCTAGTGGTGCACTCTTTTGACCTGGTGGTATCTGCTATTGGAATTTTGTCCATCAAGGGCACAAGGGACCCAAGTTCCAAGTCAGTAGTTGAAGACCCAATGGCTATTTTGCAGAAGGGGTACTCATTGACACTATTCCTCGCAGTTATTGCCTTCACTGGTGTAAGTACATCAGAATCTATCATGGACCTTCCCTTAAGTTGCCCTACTTCAGGATGTGCGAAGTTCTGTTGTACAAGTGTAAACTTGCACGTCCCAGACCTTATCTGATTTTCATTCATATGAGAGACTTTGTGTTGGTGTTCTATTCGCCATTTTGTAGGTCTAGTTAAATTCTAATTGGTGTTTTGTTTTGAAACAGTCCACTAGATGGTTATTGTATACAGAACAAGCACCGACAGCTTGGCTACACTTCGCATTATGCGGCTTGGTGGGGATTGCCACTGCATATCTTTTTGTCTGGATCTCACAGTACTATACCGACTATAAGTACGAACCAGTGCGGAATGTCGCTCTTGCAAGTACAACAGGACATGGGACAAATATAATTGCCGGGGTCGGCCTGGGTCTGGAGTCGACAGCAATGCCTGTACTTGTCATAAGTGTTGCAATTATTCTAACATATTGGCTCGGGAAGACCGCTGGCCTCGTCGACAGTGACGGACTTCCCACAGGAGGCTTGTTTGGTACAGCTGTTGCCACTATGGGGATGCTGAGCACCGCAGGTTACGTTTTGACAATGGACATGTTTGGACCAATTGCAGACAATGCTGGTGGAATTGTGGAGATGAGCCAGCAGGTGAGGAATCCGGTCTCGGATTACTTTTTTTTCCTCTGTTGCATTAAGTTGTCAATTTCGTGACAGTGTTGTCTTGGCTGCATGTTTTTTAAATAATCCAATTATTTGTATATTGGTTTTTGCAGCCTGAGAGTGTGAGGGAGATTACAGATCTTCTGGATGCTGTTGGAAATACCACGAAGGCAACTACGAAGGGTTTTGCCATTGGGTCTGCAGCTTTAGCGGCATTCCTTCTGTTCAGTGCTTACATGGATGAAGTTTCGTCCTTTTCTGGAATTCCCTTTACAACGGTACGAGATACAATTGATACTGAAGAGGACTCTGTATAGTTGTATTTGACATGATCTCTTTTGGATCGACTGCGTATATCATTGATCTTAGATGATGCTTAAACTTTCACCTTCATGAGAGAAGTTCTGTAGATTTTCTCTTTTCAACAGAAGTAATCAAATTCTGCTCACCCAAAAGAAACAAATTGATTAAAATATTAGTAAGTTATTTAAAGAGAGTGACATCGACTTACTAATCTGTGCAGTTTCTAAAAGGTGTAGAGGCTAGTCTTGGTTCGAACTTACCTCATCGTTTTATATGGTATAGAGTTTGGGTACTATTTCACTAGAGTTACTAGAGTTTGGTTCTATTCTTCCTTCCTGCCTCCTAGTTCTTTGTTTTGGTCTCTTGGTTTGCTGTGCTTTTATTCCAGCCACACCGAATCATCTGTTTCTCTAACTTCCTCGTGAGTTGAAATGGAGATATACGGGTCTCCGTCAACTGTACCTAACCCCATGCGACGACTCTAATTGGAACTTGATGTGTACACGCTTACTCACATACACGACATGCCTAGTGAGGATAAAATGGTCCTGGAAGTAGTGGGAACGGAGAAATTCGCACTCACTTTCTTCGCTGATTACTGTCTCTGGATTCCTATTCAGCATTCATTGGATCCATACTAGCACTTCCCTTCCGTCGTACCCTCTGTGTTCCTCTCAGGTGTACTCTTCTGATCTTCGAGTTAAGTTAACCGCTGAACTGCTCAACGCAATTCGCGATTTTTGCTTGCTGTTTATCGTCTACTCGGACACTATTGAGTTTTTTACTTTAAGCTTTACTCATGTACGGTCACATCCTTCGTTTCATAACGGTGTTTTACTGGGTCCCCATCAACTGGATCGACACCCAGCGCGACGATTCCCAATTAGAACTTCAAGAGTCTTGGATCATTCCATGTAGCTGACGAGATCTTTTAGGTAGCGGTAGCGACTTTGTACACGCTCACTCTCCCTGTTGACTACAGAGTCTGGCTTCTATTCCGTGCATATCAAATCCAAGCTTGTTAATTCCTTTCTGGCTACCTTCGTGGTACCTGCTAACTCCAGTACTTCTCTTCCAATATCACATGTTATTTTACTACTGAGTCTCGTCTTTCTTGGATTGTTATCTGCCCCTCTTTGGTGTTTGCTCTCAACCACAGACATCGGCATCCGATTCTTGAGGCAACCTTCGCGTAGGTTGCATGTCCAAACTATCTTCAAAAGGGATAATATTGCTACTAAGGTGCCCGTACAACTGAGAACTTGCTTTATCAGGACACCTTACAATTTCTGTAATTGATCCGCCGGTCGTGTTGAACACAAGTACTTGATCTTGCTACTTGAATACATAAGTGTATACAGTTCAAATGTCGTTTTTATTCCATTGCGTATCATTAAAATGCAAACTTGCACATCCATTTGGATAGCCTCGTGTCACCTGCTAACACTTCTCTTCTAGCTCCACTGTTTTTGCATGCTGCTTCTTTACTGGATAGTTATCTGCTCCTGTTTGGTGTTTTCTCTTAACTGAATCCGATTTTTCTTCCGGCGGATTAAGATTGCAACCACAACCAGTATCGCAAATATTTTCTACGCGAAGCAATTTGTGTCACTGACCTTGAAGTGGAACGAACGCATTCACTTACTTTGGAGTTTGCTGACAAGAACCGTTTTCCGAAGTACCAACGGTTGGATACGCTGTCATGTGCTTTTGTTTCAGGTTGACATTGCAATCCCAGAGGTCTTCGTTGGTGGTTTACTTGGTTCTATGCTTATATTCCTCTTTAGTGCATGGGCATGCGCTGCCGTGGGTAGAACCGCTCAAGAGGTTGTGAAGGAAGTGCGAAGGCAGTTCATCGAGCGACCGGGCATTATGGTAAGCTTTTACACTGGATCATGTATATTGTAAAAGCCCTTCATTTCTGTCCAGCACTCTGTTCCAGTCAAGAGGAGGCAAAGGTGACAATGACCCCTCGTCTTTCTAGTTTATAGATCTTGAAGGGCAGTACAAGCAGTGCTCTTATTAGAGCATGTTACAGCCTGAAGACCATCAACATGGCTGAGTGATTCTACTTTGAAGAGGCTAAATAATGAGAAGATGGGCAAGAACTTGAAATAATTAGAGGGGACCATTTCAGCATGAAGAAGGTCTCTCGTTTTGTGAGAGTTTCTCTCACAAATGAGATTAGATCGAAGGTTCGAGTCAGTGAAGAAATTTTCTGAAACTCATGGACCTCACAGTTACAAGAGTCCTAAGGAGGTATACCTCAAGAGTGTTGCTGCTTGAGTCATTATCCACTTTCTTATGTTGTTCTGCAGACTTATCAAGAGAAACCGGACTACGCTCGGTGTGTATCAATTGTTGCATCAGCTTCTCTACGCGAAATGATCAAACCAGGAGCTTTGGCTGTTTTCTCACCCGTAGCCATCGGTAATGATGACTTGGCTTTTCATACAGTTTGATTAGCGCATATTTGAAGAAATGCGATTAACGTTCTCGTAGTTGTTAATGGACTTTTTCCATACTGCTTGTGTAGAGTTGATAAAAAGCATGTTTGGGACAACCTTTAGTTAAGAGAGTTTTGAATTCGGGAGTTTGGCTGATGCTAGTAGAGAACGGGTGTGAATGAAGGCGTATCCGAAGCTTATTTCTTCCAGCATTAACCTCGTTTAGGCGAACATTTTATCATGAATTGTTGATTCTTATTTTTCTTCCGGTATTATTAGGCATTACCTTTAGAATATTGGGACACTACACCGATCAGCCTTTGCTGGGAGCCAAGGCCGTTGCTGGAATGCTCATGTTTGCGACCGTGACGGGAATCTTAATGGCGCTGTTTTTGAACACGGCCGGTGGAGCATGGGACAACGCGAAGAAGTACATCGAAAGTGGAGCCTATGGTGGCAAGGGCAGTGAAACACATAAAGCAGCTGTGACGGGAGACACGTAAGTCAGACCAGCAGACGTTAATTGTATATCGTCGTCTAAGCGTCGGGAGGGGTTGGCTTGAAATTTGCAGCAACTTTGCCCTATCTCAACGTCTTTCAAGCTTTAATGAGACTTTATTACGATACAACCCTCATGACCTTGGTTTGTTGTGCAGTGTGGGAGATCCGTTCAAGGATACAGCAGGGCCTTCAATTCACGTGCTCATCAAGATGTTGGCAACTATTACATTGGTCATGGCACCTTTGTTCCTGGAAGGTTGAACTGAACAAGTTAGGGAGGCTACGTTTAGCAGGACTATTGATGTTCGCCCTATAGCTAGAACTGATTGTTGCATCTCTGTTCGTCCCTCTTATACTCTGACATTTGTTCTAGGAAAAAGTACAAGTGGCAGAGACTTATAAGTTCCAGCAAAAACTGGGTGGACCTGCAATTTGGAAATTTAAGTTCATGAGTTGTCTCCAATAAGTGGCTGCGCCGCCGAATCTTAAGAGTTTAGACTTGACAGTGGTTCTATAGATTGTTGGAGGACGTAGTCGATTTTGACATGCGAAACGTTTAATTAACCCGGCTCGGGGCAGCTCACGTACTTGGAAGCCATGTCGTACTGTAATTCTTACATTTGTGTCAAATGACAACGGACATCAGCCGAAAGGCAACAAACTAGGTTTTAGTGGAGGTTGAAGAGCTTGCTCTACAGCTGAAGTAGTAGGAGAGCAGTTGGAGGTGTTGAAGAGAAGACAATCACACCCTTTGTATCATTTATGCAGTCACTGCACGATTGAAGAGAATGCCAGCTACTGGATTCACATGAAATCATGGAGTTCTCAGCTAGCATATTACGAATACTGGTTCGTGAAGACTGAAGCATGGAATTTGGATTTCTTGAGCTGTCGGTACTTGGCTGTCACATATTCGAATATATCTTTGATGACTCGCGTCCTTGCATGGTCCAACCAGTAACGATGTCACGGGTTGTAGAACACATCCTCATAGTTTCCACTATTAGGTGCCTATCAGTGGTGGCTGAACTTTACACAGCGTATGAAATCTGAAAATGATGAGATCAACTTTTCGACGACTGTGAACTTCCCATGTTCACGAATTCGGGCATTACCACTGACATAATGGAACTGCAGTGATTATTATCGTTCTTGGACCACTGAACGAAGTCCTGATATACGTTCCGAGTTGTACGATGCATGACGTTGGTGCGCTACGAAAGTGGTAGCTATATACTTTCATAGTGCTTTTCAACGCTAAACAAGTCATACCAAGGAATTAGATTCTCTTTCCCAGATTTGGAACCGCAGCAAACGCACCTTCCACCCGTGATTCCCTAGTTTAGGCAGAAGCTTTATTCCCTAGTTGGCTGTATAAGTGTAGTCACAACTTACGCATTATTCTTGAACATTACAAAGATGATTTATACAATGATAAAAGTTTGGATGGTGTTTCTGGTTGTAGTTGTACTCTAATTCATATAATCAAAATAGAATTCATCAAAATACTAGGCTTTATTCCACTGCCATAAGTGTTGATGGTCGTTTTGTATCATCATATCAGTAACATCGGAAAAAGTTGTGGATGACTATTCTTGAATAGTATTGTCATATCTCTCTCTATTGGAAACCTTAAGAACTAGAGCATAGTTCATGAGAAAATTTTCAATCATTTTCAATAATGATTGCACATAGGTTACATTTGGTCAATCATTATAATGGTGATTTATGCAAAATTGTCTTTCCAATTTCATATGTGTAGACTAGTAAATTACATAATCGTTACTATTTTCTGTTTCACATTTGAATTCAATCCTTGGAAGTGTATAGTAATGCACCTTAACACATAAGAAGTAATTGCTTAATGCATTAGACAGCCCGTTTCAATCTCCAATATTGTATTTGAATCAATAATTGGTAGATAACATATGATAGAGATAACAGAATTATTGATATATTCTAATTGTGTAATTTATACAAAACTTGCAAAGTAATGAAATATATAGGTTTTGTCAATGCATCTATTGAATTACAATTATCATAATTTTGGTTAGTTCAATTTTCTTATCAAGTTTTGTATTTATGATACTTGATGTTAATATATTTCATATCAGATCAAATATCTTTGTATCTTGAAGCAAATCAAATGATAAATAGGAGAGTGAATATACTTTACTCTCCTATTTATCATTTGATTTGCTTCAAGATACAATACACTCTTAAATTTTACTTCCATAATATAGATTGACAACGTCATGTTTCAATTTTCATTTTAGTTATTCGTATATTCAATCACACATTTCTAAAGGTTTTATGCGTGTGCTATATATTCAACTTCTGCTAGTGATTGAACTACAAATTTCTGCAAAATAGGATTTAAATTCAAATTCAAGTTCAAATTTTACACCATCAAATATTAACATATACCAAGTTGTAAATTTTATCTTATACAAGAGTCAATATTAATTTAGCATAACAAGAGTTTGTCATTGTGTAATGAAACATCAAACAAAAGTCCATAATTCCTTATACTATTGAGGGACAAAATTTCATCTCACACCTTCGCAATGCATGTTTTTTGATTTGAAATATAACAAGTATAGCAAAATCTTATAGCAATATCAAGAGATAGAGAAAGTTTCTCTAAAGATTAATTTACTTTTCAAGATTTTAAATCATATCATACATCATCAATGTAAAGTCAAAACACGCAAGTGACAATAAACACTCCAGATGTAGTTTGGTTCACTCCTTTCAAGGAGCAACGTTCATCAAGAACACACTTCATTCTACTCAGGTTTGTCATAAAAGACTTATCTCATTTACAAGCAAAAGCAGGGTATTTAACCCAAGTCTAAATATAGCTAGGACCTAAGGTTACTCATTAACTCAAATTAACTTTAAAAATCTCCCCCTTAACTCATGTTAAGTAACCGGTAACCTCTGTAACTTACATTATTATTTCGTGGGAAGTTTTTGAGAAAAACTTAACATAAGTTAATATCTTTACACAAGAATTAAATAGAACTAAGCCGTAACCATAACAATATATAGTAGTAATAACATAAAGAGATAACCAAAACCTGCTAGCATAGAAATAAAATAAAATTTCACTCGTCAGCATGGACACTTCAAAAATCTACTTTTTCAATGATTTGGTATCAATGAAAGCCACATATATACCGACAAATACTTTACAAACTCTCAACCTATAACATTATTATTGCATGAGCATTACTCTTCCCGTCATGTGTCACCAACACTTGCGACCTTGACCCGTAACTAATTGTCACCTGTGACTGTCCCTCACCTTCTAATTGACTGTCATTCCTGATTGGTCCTCATCTTCGCTCGCGACTAACTACGCATGCAACTCACTATCACCGTTACCCGCGACTTATAGTGTACGCTACTAAGTGTTGCTTGCGATTGATTACGGCCACGACTAACCGTTACTGTCGCCCGCAATTTACAGCGCAAAGACCGGTGCCCACAATTATTTGTCGTCCGTTACCGTTGACCACAACTTACCATCGTCCGCAACCAACCATCACAGTCTCCGGCAACTAGCCGTCATCATCGTCTACGACTCACCATTGTCCGCAATTGACTGTCTCCGTGCCCACAACTAGTCATCGTCGCCCGCCACTCATTGTCATAGTCGACTATCGACCATCACTATCAAATGCATGTTGACCACGGTTGCTCTGCCTACCGTGGTTGTCCAGACGACTGCGATTGCCTCATATACCGTGGTTCTCCCTACTGACTGTGATTTCCTTGTCTACCGCGGTTGCACTATTTACTTGAATTCGTCGGTAGATTATGGTTGCTCCATGTCCACCATAACTCGCTCCTTTTTGAGCGCGGCCGTCTATGTCACTCGGCACTCGTCCCTCCCATTCGGGGGCTGGCTTTACTCGGCACCTTGCGGTTGAGAGATTTGCTTGATGGGACCCCTCCGGAAAGTAATTTGTTTGATTGGACCCTTTAGGTTTCATTTTATCCGATGGGACCCCATGAACTATGCACTGTCACCCATGTTCTAATAACAACTAGAGAGAGTGCAACGAGTCAACCGCACCCGCGGACAGAGTGGACTTCGTCCTCCATCACACTCACTTGTTTTTATGTTGTCATTCTATATCCAGCCCCTCCCTGAGGTGACGAGCAAAGAAATGTTCATCCGGAGTTTATTTGTTCGCCACAAATGGGTGATCGCAAGACTTGAACTCGTACCACTTTCCGGTACGAGCTCTTCCTCGCATACAAAGGGTTACAGAATACAAAGGGTTACGGAAGGAGGGTGCATGTGGGAGGCAGTAGAGAAATCTGCGAATCGGTGCGATCGGAATAATTAAATCACAAAAAATTGCAATTCGAGCAAAATCGATCTTTGTCCCCATGATAATCCACCAGAAATTATAATCAGGGATTGATCTATATCCGCATTGTAACTAGTAATAATAACCGTAATTACAAGAACTATGTTCGACGGCACACCGTAGTTGGGGTCCCATCGGTTAAAACTAAATCCGAAGGTCCCATCAAGCAAATTACTTTACTCAGAGTCCCATCATTTATTTATTCCTTGGCGCTTTATTATAATTCATTATTTAAAGTTCTATATTATGCGAGTAGTTGTTCATAAGACATTTACATTGTTGATTTATGTCTGTTTGCAAAGTATACTATGTTAAAAATCAATAATCTAATTTTAGATTTTATATGAGCTATAAATGACACAATCATCTATGTTGTAATGTTTCACATTAGAAATAAAATAAAATAATCCAAAACAATCAAACAAAATATATAACAAAGGTATTAGATATTTCTTTCTCACTAGTTTTTTTTAAATAAAATAATTTAGATTATGTTTTTGTGCATGATTACTAACGATTGATATTGATTGGCAATTGAAATCACCAGCAATGTATTTTTTTTTTTTGGGTGCTTGAATGAAAGCTGGAAATAAGTAAATTGGATACTTGTCTTCTCTTGATGTGGAAGACCTGCAGTTGTATGACTGATTTTGTTGTTGAATAAACCAAAGAATTGATCACGGTTAACTTAGTTATAACTAAATCATAATAACTATGATTAAAATTAGCTATCAAGTCTATAGTTAACTAAATTGTTAAAATAGTTTTAGAAATTATGAGTTAGAAATACTACTTGTCTCATATTAAAATGTAATTTCATTTAAACAAATTAGTTTGATTAGTTTGACTAAATGGTAAAATTTTTATTCACTACAATAAGATTAGAATTCGATTTAGTGGCAAATTGATGTTAAAAAACTCTAAGATCTTCAATAACATATTCTTAAATCAATTCAAAAAAGCTTATAGAAGATCTATATAGACCAAGAACACGTTATAATGTAATTATTCATATGAATTGATCATATTTATCAAAATTAATTCTAGGGTAAATAATTTATGTAATGGTAATCATCAATTAACATGAAATTATTTTGATCAATAAAACCAAAGAGGTAGTGAAAAAATCACACGGCATGATGCAATAAGTATATGGTTCATTTCTGACTTAGCAGCTACGTTCACAAAAAAATACACTATATTATGAAGCTCCAAACACTCAAAGTCAAAATGATACTCGACTCCAAGAATATATAGTGGCTACTAATCAAGACAAGCAACTCGAGTTAATTTAAAACTAGAGTTAAATCTAAAAAATATATTTTTTAATTTATCTAGAGGTATACATAAATTCCTTAACCTATATAATTACTCAACAGAAAATTCTAGAAGTAAATCTAACCAAATGTACATTTTTAAACTAAAA